GTGTGTGTGTGTGTGTGTGTGTGTGTGTGTGTGTGTGTGTGTGTGTGTGTGTGTGTGTAAGCATGAAGGTCCTGTCTCTCCCCAGAAAGAAGTGAAGCCTGAACCTCTGGGTTCAAAGAGACAACAGAGAGGGCAGAGCCCACACCTTCTGGGGAAAGAGGCCTCCAGATGAAACCTGGAACACAGAACAACTCTGCAGCGATCATCCAGCAGCCCCACACCCCACAGTGATCAGGAGACACCGTCCAGCAGTAGCACTGGGCAAAGCCTATGACCCCGCCCGGCAGGATCAGCCTGGGGCCACCCAGTGTCCCCAGAGGTGTGAGCTGCTCCTGCACACATTACCCTGGCTGTCCCTGTGTGCTCCTCCACAAATATTCTCTGGGTAGAGCCACTCCTCCCACTGAGGGTGTGTATATTTATGGTAAAGAGAGCCTCAGGATTCCTGGAGAAATGTTTTGTTGCTACTTTTCTTACTGTACAATTGCACTAAATGTCTCTGCTTTGAGCTGATGGTCACCCTCTGGCTGACTTGTAAAAGTGAGGCCAGCAGTGGGGGCTCACCAACTACGGGTAGGCTGTGTAGCAGGACTCAGGAGAAAGTGAGGGAGTGTCCCAGGTGCTACACTGAAAACTGAAGGAAAGGATGGAAAGGAGGCCTAGGAGAGAGCTCCTGCCATTTCTAAACACTCTTCCATGATCCCATAGGCCTCTGGACAAGTAGAAATTGACCTTGCAGGGGGGAAGCTCCACTCTCCACCAGCAGCTGCTGCAGGATCTGTAGGAAATGTCCCCGAAGAAGGCTCCCCACCTCAATGTCCTCGTTTTCTTTGAGGAAAGTTCTCAGGATTGTCAGCACTTTTCGGGCTATGTCCATGGGACTGGAATAGACAAGGTCCTGAGGAGGAAGAGGAGGAGGAGAGAACAAAGTTATGATCACATGATCAAAGCATAGAGTCAGCAAAAGGGTCAAGAGAGTAGCAGCCATGCATGGCTTTTAAAGTCAAAAAGGTCTTTTCAAATTCATTAGGTTCACAGGACTAAGAAGGGATCTAACTCCCAGTTTTACAGATGATGAAACTGAGGCCCAGAGAAGTTAAAGGACTTGTCCCAGGGTCACACAGCCATTAAGGGTTTGAGGCAGGATTCAAACTCAGGTCTTCTGACTCTAGACACAGTGTCCTCTCCATACCACACTACCCTGTGCAAGTGACCTAACTGCTCTGTGCTGATTTCCTTACAGGTAAATTAAGACTAAAATAGCTCCTTCTCATGGAAATTTTGAAGATACCTTTATGTATTTTTAAATGAAAAAATATGAGTAATATGTAAAGTATTTTGAGCTCTCTAGAAAAGGACAAATATTTTTTGCTCTCTCAAAAGAAGATAAAAAGTCAAAGGGACCTTCAAGGTCATTTAGCCTAGCCCCCTATTTCACTGATGAGCAAACGAAGGCCAAGAAAGAGCACTAGATTTAGAATCAGATGGTTTCTGAGGCCTGACACCAACAGTAGAGGTTGGCTGGAGGTGCTAGAGGGCCTCCTGAGATGCGTCATCTCCCCTAGTAGAATGTACACTCATTGCAAGGGGGGATCATTTCTTTGTTTGGCTCCTCCGCACTTAGCACGTTTCTAGGCACATAGTAGGTGTGTGATAAAGCAATGCTTGTTAACTGACTGTCAAACCAATTATGGTGATCTGTAAGGAGTAAAATGAAAGTAGAGAACAACTCAACAAGGCTGGACAAAGTCATGATTGAAAAATGGAAGATACTGGGGCACAGGTGGTATTTTCATCCCAGCTACCAAAGCAAAATAGCAGAGTCTGGGAACTGACCAGCTGGCTCAGATGGTATCTGGGAATGGGGACTGGAGCCCTGGACCACACATCCAAATGCTCTAACTAGATCATCACTGATTCAGGACCCAAAGCCAAGTCTATCGACTCCCGTCTGGTACAGAGCTCTACGGCAGGAGTTCTTAACCTTTTTTGTGTCATGGACCCTTTTGTCGGACAATGTTTTAAAATGTATATAACAAAATACATAAAAGTACAAAGGAAGTCAATTATATCAAGCTACAATTATTGGAATATATGAAAAAACCAATTTGAGGACTCCAGAGTAAGAACCCCTGCTCTAGGGAAAGGCAGTGAGAGGCTGCTAAAGAGGAAGGAGATGATGATGATGATGATGATGATGATGATGATGATGATGATGATGATGGGAGCAAAGGAGAAGGTATGAGGCCCAGCAGTCTGCCAGAGAGGAAAAAATTCCACTTTCTCTTGGGGAGGCAGGGAGGTCATTTCTCTGGCTATCTCCACTGCCTTTCACGAGCACAGGCTGGTGGGAAAGAGGGTTACTTCTTGTTACACTTTAAAAGCTGTTTATTTAATTAAACAGCACCAGCAGGACCAGAGACTCATCATCCCCAAAAGCTCAGAGCTCTGCTCAGATCACGTGGCCATCCAACGTGCCCTCTTAGACACACGGCAATAACAAATCCCGAGTCATAGGATCTCCCCAGCAGTCAGTCTGCATCACATGGAGAAAAACAGCCACAGATAAAAGTTCTAAATCCACAAGCTATTTTGTTGATACACCATCAAAGTCACAAGGGAGACTGGGAGTTGGGGGGGAGACCAGCAGGTGTGGTGGGAATCACTCACTGCAACTTGGGGAAAAATGGGAAAGTAGGGCATCAGCGCCATCTGGGAAGACAAAGGGGATGGGAGAAAAGAGGAGGAAAGAAAGAGAGGAAATATAGGGGAGAGAGAGAGATGAAAGAGAAGAAAAATGAAGGAGAAGTAGCAGGAGGAAGAGGAGAGGGAGTCATTACTACTAGTACTAGTAAATAATGATACTAGTAGAGACAGGGAGGGAAGGAAAAAGGAGGAGGAAGAGAGAGAAAGAAGGGAAGAAGGAAGAGAAAGACAGAATGGAAGGCAGAGTAAGTCCCACACAGTCATCAGGATGGCCCTGGCTCCTCAGCCGTCTGCTGACCTTTGACTCAGGCAGAACTGGCCAGGTTGTTTCTACTACGATTTTTTTTTTTTTTTTTTTTTTTTTTTG